CCGTGGGCTGCGTCCTCTCGGCCCTGGTTTGGTCAGAGCCGCCTGGCCGCGCTGCACGCACTATTGGGACCTTGGCTGGCACCCACTGGGCAGAAGAGAGGCCCTACCTGGCCCTGCGCCTTGCCCCCCTTCCTGTGCCGGAGGTCAGCCCAGAGAGCCCTGCGGGGCGGAGGGACTGTGGGGAGCTGGGGGCGCCCTGCGGGGGCCTGGCCTCATGTTCGGCCTCTCCTTCCTGCCTGGTCTCTGGGCCCCGTCGTGAACCACAGGGTTTTGTCCAGGATGGCTGGCACCTGGCACCTGCTCTAGCGCAGCCAGCCTCATCCTCTGTCCCAAGCTGGGTCTTTGGAGCCCGAGGTCGAGGCATTAGGGCCGTGGAGAGTAAGACGACCTGTAGACTCACCTGCAGGCCCCGGGTCGGTGCAGGGCAAGGACACGGCATCAGCCCTGCTCCCCGGCACAACTGGACTTGGAGCCTGTCCTTTTCCTGGACTCCTCCCCAAACCTGAACACAGCCTCCCAGACCCAGCCTCTGAGATTCCCTTTGCTTCTCAAGGCTCTGCTCAGGAAGGGAGGGGGCTCCAGGAGAGAGGATGGCTGGAGACCCCCAAAGACCCTCCGTGAAGGGAATTAGTCCTGGCTTGTTCTTCCCGGGACATCTGCCGGGTCTGCGGGAAGACCCGCAGGGCAGGGCCGACCAAGGCTTGGTGAAAGTGTGGGAGAGCACCACATGAAAATGGAGACGCGGGGGCATGTCAAGGCCACGGGCGCCGGGCGCTGCCCTCGCTCCTGTTTTCCTCTGTATGTGGGGTGGGGGCAGGCTGAACTCTGGCCAGCTGGGAGGCTGGCTGGTAGGAAGGGGGCTGGCCTAGGGACTCCCCTCAGGTTGGGGGGGGATTGGCAGCGGCTTCTCCTCTCTGCTGGTGGAGGGTGGGTGTCTGGGGTCTTCAGTGCTCCTCAGTCACCTGAAGAAGATAACAGACCTCTTCACAGAGCCAGCAGGCTGTGGGGGACCCCTCCCCTGGGCTCCCCTGGGCTCCTAGGTGGAGGCAAGATGGGAAGGTGAGGAGCCGGAGCTGAGCCTGTGTGGGGAGTTTGACCCTTGAAGCGGGTGTGTGTGGCGTTCCCTAGGGCAGGGCGTGCACCTGGCCCTCAGCCTCTAGACCTTCTCACCAGAGATAGCAGATCTTCTTCACGGCCTCCTTTTTCAGGCCTCTCCTCCCTGCCCAGCCTGTCTCCTGCCCCCCATGAGACAGGTTGACTGTGCCCTTCTGCCCTGGAGAGACTCCCTGTGGGGCCCCAGTGCCTGCAGGGACTGGGAAGCATCCCCTGGGCCCTGAGCCCGCGGCGAGGAGGATCCCGAGGAGTGCCGTGGCCGGGTGGCGCAGCCTTGGCCGGGGCTGCCTGCGGCCTTCCCCGTTTGGTCAGGGATGTGGCACGGTTTCTGGTCTTAGGGGAGGGGCCCTGGCAGGCAGCTGGGGAGCTGCGTGTCCAGGCCGAGACAGCAGGGAGGTTCTTTGCTGGGCTTTCCTGGCTGGCGGGCCCAGAGGAGGAGTTAGCTCCCTGGGGGGCGGTGTGCCCCGCGAGGGCGTCATTCGGATACCTTGGTCGGTGGCGGCTGCAGTGGCTGACCCGGCTGCCCTCTCCTCCCAGGCTCCTGTTTCTGGGTGGCTGTGCTCGACGGCAATGTGGTGGGCATCGTGGCCGCACGGGCCCACGAGGAGGACAACACCGTGGAGCTGCTCCGCATGTCCGTGGACTCCCGCTTCCGAGGCAAGGGCATCGCCAAGGCGCTGGGCCGGAAGGTGCTGGAGTTCGCCGTGGTGCACAACTACTCTGCCGTGGTGCTGGGCACCACCGCTGTGAAGGTGGCCGCCCACAAGCTGTATGAGTCCCTGGGCTTCAGACACATGGGCTCGAGTGACCACTACGTGCTGCCTGGCATGACCCTCTCGCTGGCCGAGCGCCTTTTCTTCCAGGTTCGCTACCACCGCTACCGCCTGCAGCTACGCGAGGAGTGACCACCACCGCCCGCCCGCCCGCCCGCCCGCCCGCCACCGCCCGTCCGCCCGCAGCCCTGTCCGCCCTGTCTGCCTGTGCCCGCCCGCCCGCCCGCCCGGCGAGGCCCTGCTTCAAGATGCTCACCTTGGCGTTTGTGTTGGGTTTTCCTTCTCCAGCATCATGCGGTTGGCCGGCTGGTTCTGGGGGTCCCAGGGCTGCTGCTCACCTGCGCCATGGTGGTGGTGTGTGTGGACTGCTGGGGCCCTGCACCCTTCCTGGCCTGTCCGGGTGGCTCACCACTGCCTTGCAGAGTGGCACTGTGGGCCACCTAAACTGTCCACCAAGCTGCCCGGCCTGCCTCCACCCACGCACAGGACCCCTGCTTCAGAGCACAGCCAGGCTGTGGTGCCACCATTGGTCCTCGGAAGTGTGGCCTGCCGGGCTGGCCAGTCACTGCCCCGTGGGAGCTGAGCTGGCCGCGGGCCCCACTCTGCTCTGTGCATGCTGAGGATGTGGCCTGGCCGCAGCATGCCGCATGCCACCGCCCCACCCCCCCCTGCCGTCCTGCCCAGACTGGACCCGGAACCAAGGCTGGTGCGCACCTTGCCCAGCCTCAGCTCACCTCTAGAGGGCCTGCCCCGTGCCTACCCTGCCTGCTCTTTGGTGGGGCCTGCACTGCCCCTGCTGCCCCGGTTCTGTCCACTCCTGCTTTGCTTTGACATCATCTCATTTTCGCCTCCTTTTGCCCACTGCCCCCGCCCCCGCCCCGGGCTTGGCTGACTTGATACTTCTGACTTGGCACCAGGTGTGGTTCCCATAGCAACCCATTGCACAGGATGGCAGGGTCCATGGGGAGGGACCCTCCCCAGGGCCTGCTAGTCCAGGTGGCCCCCCCAGCTGTCCAGAGGCCCTCCCGCCTCCTGCCGGGCACTGGGGTCTGCCCTGTGAATCTTATTAGCCAGGCTGCTGCAAGCCACAGCTCATCCCAGCCTGAGACCAACCCATTTTCTAATAAGTTACTTAGACAGAATAGCACTCTGCATGACTTTAACTCTTGGGACAAAACGGTAGTTTGAACCTTCAGACACACCTCTGTGTGGTGCTAGCACATGCACTGTCTCAGGCCCCGTGTGATGGGGTGGGTGGAGGGAGACCTTGATTTAGCATCATTTCCCCTCCAAAGTGTCCACGGGGCCTGTGAGGCCCCAGGCTGCCCTTCCAGCCCAAGGCCTGAGGGGGCCTGGGAGTCTCAGAGCCTTGGGAGGAACAGGACTGGGCCGTGGGGTGGGTCCTGCCCAGCGCCGTGTAACCGGCCTCTCCGCGGGGGCCAGTCTGGGTGCGAGGTGACGGGGACTGGGAAAGGAGGGCAGGTGGCTGGCAGTGCCTGAACGGCCAGTGGGCCCTTGGCCTGGCTCTGGGGACAGGGAGGGCATAAGGGCCTGCCAGGCTCTTTCTGTGGGAGGGGGTTTGCGTCAGGAAGAGCAGGCCACGGAGCTGGGTCCTTGACATCTAGGCCGTGTTAAAAAGAGGAGCTTCGGGAATAAATTGGTGGGATGGGCCCAGCACCGGAGGGGCCTTTTGTGCTGTTAGCAGCCGTGTTAGCTGTTTGCAGAGCCCTGTACAGACCCCACTCCCCTGTACATTCTCCCTGGTGGCACCCGGTCCCCGCTCGGGGATGGGAGTTTTGTAGACTGTACAGAAATTGGCACCCTATTTTCTTGCAGCTCTCAGATTTTGTTAATCTGGATTATACAGACAGACGTAAAGTGTTTTAGCAAAATGGAAAACAAACAGTCGTGCCTTTTTCCTCTTTCTGTTTGGTTTTGACCCGGGCTGGTCTTAGCTGCCCCGGGGCAGGAGGCTGGGCGGGTCCAAGTGGGAGGTGGGGCTGGTTGGGTGGTTCCCCCCCCCCCCCAGTCTTCAGACCCTGCGCCTTCCTGGGGATGGGGCTTCTGACCCATCCGTGCTTCCTGGACAGGAAACCCAGTCCTGGTGGCACAGAGGGTTGTGGGGGGATGCGATCTTCTCGGCCTGGCACCTGTGTGCCCACGGAGATGTTGCTAGCTATGTGGCCCAGCAGGAGCACTTGCTGGACCCCTGAGCATTTTCTGCCACCCTTTTGTTGCTGCCAGGTGGGGAAGGCAGGTGTTCCTGAGCTATGCCAGGTGGGCTTCTGCAGACCAGTGTGCGGCTCAGCGTGGCCGTGGGAGGTTTGCCCCTGGCTAACGACCGGGCCACGCGGGTGGGCGGGTCAGCTCATCCAGCCTGCGTGCTTACCGCCTCACGTGCACTGACATGAATTTCGTGTTTGTGGAGATTCTGTTCTTTCTACCTCTGTGGGTTTCTCCGGGGCCTGGCAGCCACTTCCCTGGGTTGGATGGCTTATCGTCCCCCCTCCACCCCCTGCCCCTTGGGCCTCTACCCGCCTTGGTGGGTAGTACTCACACTCAGCCTGGTGAGGCCAGCCTGAGACCTGCCCCGGGCAGGGTCTAGGACTTCCGCAAGTCCTTCTGGCTGTTTAGAAGACTGTTTTGAGAGTGGGAAGGGTTCCAGAATTTCAGTGTTTGGTGAGGCTGTTGTGCAGAGGTGTGCAGCGGCTTCTCTCTGCCCAGGCATTCTGTGCTTCAGACCTCCAGCCCAAGAGAATGCTACTGGGGATTGACTGGCCCATGTGTGCTGGGGCCCTGTGCTCTGGCCCTTGGCAGGGCCAGGAGAGGCCCTGGGGCCATCACAGCCACTTTCCCATGCTGCTCCTGCTCCCACCCCCATGCCCGGTCTTCCCCCCCCCCTGCCCTGGGGGCTGGGCAGCAATGGAGAGAAGGGTCAGCCTGGCCAAAGGGTTGACAGCAGGCCCTGGGGGGAGGTGTAGGTGTCAAGGCCCTGCAGTCCAGGGCAGCCCTGCCCTGCCCTGGTGTCCTGCCCAGGTCCAGAGGAACCCTGAGTCTTCTGCTCCAAGGGCCCGGTGGGCCTGGCTTGTTCCTGGCCATGCTGCCCTGTCCCACCTGCCCCAGGGAACGCCAGTCCATGCCCCCAGGGCTGTGCCGGTGGCTGGGGGGCAAGTGGCTCCTGACCCAGGGGTCACTGACGGCCCGACAGAGGTGACCCCTGCGCCGAGGGCCAATTGCTGCTGCCGCCCTGCCTTGCTGGGCAGAAGCAGCTTCTGGAGTCCATCCTGGGCTCTGCCACGGCGTCCCAGCCAGTGGCTGTGGGTGGTGTTGGGGGTGTGGGGTGACCCTGGGACACGCCACGCTTAGGTGCTGCCTGCTTTGCTTCCAGAAGGAGCAGTGTCCACATCTGGGTCCGGGTGGAGGGTGAGCCCTGACTTAACACTGTTGGATGTATTTTTTAAAACAGCAATAATTAGCCATTCTAAAGAAGGGTGTCCCTGTGTGTGTGTGTGCGTGCGCGCGCGCGTGCATGTGTAAGCATTTGTACTGAGTTGTGACTACATGCATGTCTGAGCATTTGTGCACGTGAACACACATGCAAGGAGTGTACATGCTAGCACATATGCATGTGGCCGTGTATGTATGTGCTGGTGGCTGATGTGTGCGGGAGCATGCGTGCATGTGTGGTCACACGTGTGTAAGTGTGGACCACAGCCAGTGTATGTGTGTGTGTCCGTGTGTGTGTGTGTGAGTGAGTGTGTGTGGCTGTGGAGAGGCATGGTAGGAAGAGCCTCCGCTTGGGGAGGCCCTTGGTAGACAGAGCAGGGTTCTACCTTTGTCCCTGGCTGTACCCACCCCTCCTTGTGAATGTAGCGCAGCCCACCAGGCTGGCTAGCCCCGCTGGCCCTTGTCCCTCCACCTCCGACCCTGTGGCCGGCTGGAGGCTCCCTGCACAGGCGCTGGTTGGGTGGGTGGGGTGGCCTCACTGCTGTGGTTTGTTCCTGAAGCCGTACTGTGAGCCCATGGTGGGGGTAGGGTGTCCTGAGACCCCAGGATGTGCCAAACCAGCCCCGAGGGCCAAGCCTCGGGCCGAGTTCCCAAGGAGACAGGCCGGGCCTGAGCGGGTGTGTGCCCGCCTGCACAGCCCCCAATGCTGCTGTTTTTCAATAAAACCAGAGTTGAAGGAACCTGGCTCTGTGCTTCTTCGAGGTGCCTTTTAGAGACTTGGGAGCTCCTGTGCACCGGCTGGGCTGGTGTCGAGCAGGGTGGCCAGCAGGCCAGAGTGGGGCTCTGAAGAGCCTCCTGTCTGGCCTGGCTGAGTGGGACTGGCAGCCCTGGGCTTCCCACGGGTGGGGATCATGCTGGTGAGTGGAGGCTGGCTCTGCTTTGGGCTCTCAGCCCAGCACACTCCCTGACCTCTAGCTTTTGGGCACCCAAATTCTTGGCTGAGATGACTTGATCCCACCCTGCTGTAGGTGGGGGTGCCCTGGCCACCAGGTCTGGGTCCCCAAGGGGCTGGCGCTGGGGCCTGTGGCTCCTGCACCTGCAGTGCCTGCGTGTCCGGGTTTGCTGTCCCGAAGGCACCGGCTCTCCCACTGAGGGATGAGGCCCATGCCCGCCCACCCAGCCCCCCGCCCTGTACCGTGGGGGCGGGGAGCCCAGTGCGTGCAAAGGAGAGAGGAGGGGGCTTGGCTTGTTTCAGGCAGCCGTGGGCCAGAAAGGGGAGCAGGCTGTGGCGTGGTGTCCGTCAGGCTGTGGTGCAGGAAGCTGCCTTGATGGGCACTTCTCCTCTCACCCTGGATGGCTCTTCTGGTACCTGTCTGCCCTGCATGGCAGGGATCCCCCTTTGACATTCCTCCCTGGCAGGCTGAGAAGGAGTTGGGCTGTGTCTCTGGGGTTTGGGAACAGCGCGGTTGAAGTACGTGTCTTTCAGCTGCTGAGGCCTGAGTGGAGCCCAGCTACCTTACACCAGTCCACCCCCCGCTGTCAGACGCTGGCCTCCACGGTGCTGCCTGTGTTTGGGGCAGGGAAGCACAGGGCCTGACTGGAGACTCAGATTTGGGGGCAGCAGGTCCAGCCCCACTTCTGACTCCCCTCTGGTGGTGGGAACGAAGCCACTTGCACAGGGTTGACTTTTCAGACATTTACTCCAGGGATGAGCCAGCCGTCCTCGCCACAGAGGGTCCATGTGGCGGGCACTGCCTGGAGCCTCACAAAGCACCCGACAGCCCTGGGAGGCCACTGCGGGCCCAAA